ACTTGAAATAGATTAAATGTTGGGTAGGGGAACCCTTTCCATCAAACGGCGTAAAGTTAATGAGATTGAACTTTGCCGGATATGGAATTGATTCCCACTCCCTCGGATATGGACACGGTATACCTGACCTTTTTACCTCTTGAGCATTCATCAATGCATTGATTTTGCTCTCCAAGTCTTTCATCTTTTTGTCTTCACTCGTTTCTATCTTCGAGTGGTTTTGGGGAGAGGTAATGTGGTCTTCTTTGGCATTATCATCTACCGGACCACTTCCGTTGTCGTTGTTGACAGGGGGAATGATGACATTATTCCCTTCCCGTTCATTCTCTTCTTGGTTCTGATGATTGGGTCGAGTGGGCTCCTCTTGATGAGTGATGATTGGGTCGAGTGGGCTCTTCTTGACGATTTGTCAGGGTTGCGATCTGCTGGTCGTGCATCTCCCTCATCCGCTGTAGGGTCATCTCCATCTCGAATTTGAAAGCCTCTTTCTGCCGAGCTAGGGCATCCTCGAGCATCTTGTTCATCTGTTCGGCGTTGATCATGAGTACTTCACGGGGTTGCCCCTCGCTAGATACTGTGTTGTCCGAAGCGATCGCGGAGCCGGTATCTGATCCTTCGTCTTCCGATGGTGATCTCGTCCGAATTCTACCATAAGTCCCTCGTGTAATGGTTCCGGACTGCAGGTGAGTTAGATACCAGGGTACCAACGGAATTGACTCGGGATTGTCCCCTGTCGATGCTCCTTTGCTGGCCATGTTGATGGTGACCTTCGGGAATTCTCTGTCTTTGACTATCCTTCTTCTTCGCTGGAAACGCCTAGGCTTAGCTTCAGACGTTCCGGTGGAAATTCTGTCAAATACTGAAATTCTCCTTGGGGTTTGAGCACAAGAGCATTCTGACAGCACTGCCTTGATTATATTGGCGCACGGGGGCTAATGACTTGCCCAATGGAAGTGGAGGAAAAAACCTCCCGGCTACAACCGGCATTGGCATGAGCAAGAAGACTACCCGTGGGGAATTCAACTGCAATAAAATACAAAGATGGAGTCAGAAAATCCGTCTCATAAGTAGAATGATAGGCTCATTCACGGAATAATTGGAGAGACGATTTTGAGTGTCCTACACCGGAAGAACGGTATGCATCATCACGTGAACAACGTGGCAACATATACCGAACTACAAGGTGTAAGACAACACAAGAATCGCCCCAATATATCCGAAGACTTGAATTGGCTAAGCAAAACAAGTCCGAAACCTTAACCTCCGCGAAAGAGGTATCGGTTCTTCCTTAATGACCCGCTAAGGGATCAGTCAGGGATACAGAAATAGAGAATTCTCACCCCTGAAGGAAAAGTCTGCCGGGAAAGACGTCGTGGGAGCCTCCTCCTCACTGTGCTGCGAATGGGGATAACTCCCGGAAGATCGATGGTGACGAGGAGACATCGGAAATCTGCAGTGAAAAGCAATCTGTCAGGTACAATATGAATACACGAAATTTAAGAAAGGGAAATTAAGCACTTGGACTTAAAATCCTATAAATAAATAGGATTTTACAGTTAAAGTCTAATTAAACCTACCAATTTTGTGCCCGCAAAACAATGATCGTTTTCGCGGTGAATTTTGGTGAAATACCCAAAATACCCTTCGTGTTCAAGGCCAAAATTCAGGTCAAGGACATGCGTAACACGGGTCATGATCATCACATTCGATCATATAACACCCCGGTACCCCACAATTTTGGTTAAAGTTTGCAAATGAGCCCTTTTGCAGAATTTAGCCAATTTTACATAAAAGCCCCTTTAACAACTTTTGGTCCTCTTGCCTAAAATACCCCTTGAACTTTCGGCCAAATGAGCATGTAACCTAGATTCTAACTTCAGTCCTTTATTACATGGACACCACCCCAATTCTTTGGCCGAATTTGCAAATAAACCCCCAAAGTTTTCGGTCCCCCTATTTACACATAAAACCCTCAATAACCTTGATCCTATTGCATAAAGCACCCCCACATCCCTTCATCAAGTGGACATAAACCCAATACCCGAAATTTCAGTTCCACTTTTGCAAATAAACCCCCACGAAATTTCAGTCCCCTTTTGCAAATAAGCCCCCCAAAATTCGGCCATTTCACCTCTCTTGCACAAAACCCCCAAGAGCATATTTTCATACATAAACTCCTATCTACCAAGCATAAAGATGCAATCTTTAAAGCAAAATAAGAGGATTGAGGGGAGGATTTTACCCAAATCAAAGAAGCTTCTTCGGGCTTGGAAATGGAATTTGAAACCTAAGTTTAAGAGAGGAGGAGATTTCGGCAAATGGGTACCCGCCAAAATCCAACCTTGCCTTGAGGAATGATGTTCTTCAAATGGAGGGAGCTTGGGGAAGAAGAAGAACTTTCAAAACCGAATAAGAGGGGGGGGAGTTCGGTTTTTGGGGAGCTAAGTAGGAGGGGGAACTCTCTTTTGAATTTTGAAAAGAGGGGGAAAACAAAAGAAGTAATGGACCAAAACAAGGGAAAAAGAAACAAACCAAAAGGGGGAAAAAGACAAAAGAAAAAGATGAAGGGGAGAAGGGGTGTCTCGGCCCCAAAACCGAGACACCCTAGGAACGCGTTGCGACAAAAGTCAACGTTCGAGGATGAAAATCCACACCAATCAACGTTCGACGATTCAAAACCCTAAGGGTCAACGCCGGTCAACGCGTAACCCTAGGTCAACGCCAGTCAACGCGTTGCGACAAAAGTCAACGTTCGAGGATGAAAATCCACACCAATCAACGTTCGACGATTCAAAACCCTAAGGGTCAACGCCGGTCAACGCGTAACCCTAGGTCAACGCCAGTCAACGCGTTGCGACAAAAGTCAACGTTCGAGGATGAAAATCCACACCAATCAACGTTCGACGATTCAAAACCCTAAGGGTCAACGCCGGTCAACGCGTAACCCTAGGTCAACGCCAGTCAACGCGTTGCGACAAAAGTCAACGTTCGAGGATGAAAATCCACACCAATCAACGTTCGACGATTCAAAACCCTAAGGGTCAACGCCGGTCAACGCGTAACCCTAGGTCAACGCCAGTCAACGCGTTGCGACAAAAGTCAACGTTCGAGGATGAAAATCCACACCAATCAACGTTCGACGATTCAAAACCCTAAGGGTCAACGCCGGTCAACGCGTAACCCTAGGTCAACGCCAGTCAACGCGTTGCGACAAAAGTCAACGTTCGAGGATGAAAATCCACACCAATCAACGTTCGACGATTCAAAACCCTAAGGGTCAACGCCGGTCAACGCGTAACCCTAGGTCAACGCCAGTCAACGCGTTGCGACAAAAGTCAACGTTCGAGGATGAAAATCCACACCAATCAACGTTCGACGATTCAAAACCCTAAGGGTCAACGCCGGTCAACGCGTAACCCTAGGTCAACGCCAGTCAACGCGTTGCGACAAAAGTCAACGTTCGAGGATGAAAATCCACACCAATCAACGTTCGACGATTCAAAACCCTAAGGGTCAACGCCGGTCAACGCGTAACCCTAGGTCAACGCCAGTCAACGCGTTGCGACAAAAGTCAACGTTCGAGGATGAAAATCCACACCAATCAACGTTCGACGATTCAAAACCCTAAGGGTCAACGCCGGTCAACGCGTAACCCTAGGTCAACGCTACACGCCTTTTACCACCCCAAGGGGGTGTCCTCAGCCCCTACATACCTTTTACCACCCCAAGGGGGTGTCCTCAGCCCCTACACACCTTTTACCACCCCAAGGGGGTGTCCTCAGCCCCTACACACCTTTTACCACCCCAAGGGGGTGTCCTCAGCCCCTACACACCTTTTACCACCCCAAGGGGGTGTCCTCAGCCCCTACACGCCTTTTACCACCCCAAGGGGGTGTCCTCAGCCCCTACACGCCTTTTACCACCCCAAGGGGGGTGTCCTCAGCCCCTACACACCTTTTACCACCCCAAGGGGGTGTCCTCAGCCCCTACACACCTTTTACCACCCCAAGGGGGTGTCCTCAGCCCCTACATACCTTTTACCACCCCAAGGGGGTGTCCTCAGCCCCTACATACCTTTTACCACCCCAAGGGGGTGTCCTCAGCCCCTACACGCCTTTTACCACCCCAAGGGGGTGTCCTCAGCCCCTACACGCCTTTTACCACCCCAAGGGGGTGTCCTCAGCCCCTACACACCTTTTACCACCCCAAGGGGGTGTCCTCAGCCCCTACACACCTTTTACCACCCCAAGGGGGTGTCCTCACCTTTCCTCACCTTTTACCACCCCCCCTCTTGGTTTCCTATAAATAGGCCCCTTAGGCCTTCATTTCAAGGGGCTCCTGATTTTGCTCTTGATTTCTTTTGGTGGCCTTGGAGGATTTCTTGGAGAGAGCCTAGGCGAAGCCCTGCCGGAGTGAGGAGTGCTCGAGCCTTCTGCAGCAAAAAAGGGTCTTCTTCCTTCCCCCTTTTCTTTTCCTTAGTATTGCCCTTTAGCGGTGATACTAAGTAGAGCTGGTGTCTCGCTTTAGCCGAGATATAAGCTTCATAACTTCTAGATCCCACGCGGGTCGACGAAGTTCAGAGTTTCTAAATCCCCTCGCGGATAGACGAAACTCTGTCCGATTTTCTCGGAACGGATCTGACCTACCGGTGGTCCACGGATATTGACGTCCCCGTCACAGGCTAAAGACCCACGCAAGCGAGACCGCACCAAAACGGGATCTCGTGTTTATTTTCGATAAAGTTGTAATTTTTGTTTTATTGCACGAGGAGGTCTTATAAAAAGACCGACTTTTTTTATCGATTCTTGTTGTAACGATTGAAGTTGTAACAGATCCAAAAGCAATGAAAACAGCAACTTTTCCCGAAAACAGTTACGATGTCGAGCATGTATAGTCCAACGGTGAAGGATGTAATGGTCGGGTAATGAATCCATTTGCCTAGCCATCATTAGCGATAATCCACTTACAGACTTTGTATTCAACAATATCCCCATCTTTTCTCAATTCTTCACAAAACTCTGTACCAAATCCTTTGAATTCAGTTTAGAACACATCAAACATATTGCGTGTATACATTTCTCCAGCTTGGACTCAATTGGATGTCCAAGGAGCATGACCGGCTTTGTGTTCAGACTCTTAAAATCTTCATGGGCTTCACTAAAGCGACGATTAGTTACTGCTTTTTCATATTGCGTCACAAACTCGTGTAATTGAGTCTGTGAGTTAACATACCCATCAAAAAATGCATTAATACTTTCACTCCTTTGGCTCGATCTCATTCCAGCAAAAAAAGTGTCCTTCAGATAACACGGCACCCAGTGTTCTCTGCATTTGTAAACTGTTTGCAACCATCCCTCCCCTTCTTCATTTATATCAAACTTCTCTTTCATCTCAACCCAATATCCTTCACATTGTTCAATTGAAGAACTATTGCACCACAACCCCCAATACCTTTGAAACTGTTCACCATAACGAGATACCAAAGTAGGCAAATGATCAATAATATGCTTTTGCATGTGCCAATAGTAATAATGGTATCTTGTCGTTGGAAACACTGAGTGAATAGCATTACACATTACTCTATCCTGATCTGTTATAATAGCACCTGGTTCAATGCCATGCATGCATTTCAGCCATTCTTCAAATAACCAAACAAAGGTATCTTCCTGTTCATCGGCTAATAATGCACAACCAAGTAAAGTGGACTGCCTATGTTGATTTACACCAGTAAATGGAGCAAATGGAAGACTGAACTTATTAGTTCTGTATGTCACATCAAACACAAAGACTGAACTTATTAGTTCTGTATGTCACATCAAACACAATAACATCACTGAATTTCAAATAAGATGCTATTGATCTTCCATCGGCCCAGAAAACACTCCTCATTTGTCCACTACTGTCTACTTCTATTGCAAAATAAATTTCTGGATCATTCGCTGTCGCACTCTGAAAATGTCGAATGATAGATATGCATTCATGACCAATATTGTTGACTCTTTGGGTTCTGATATGATCAATGCATTGTTGTGATGTCACTAATTCACCTTCTCTTCCATTAGTTGCATTGATGACGTGAGAAATAGTGGAAGGAGGCATACCTTCTTCTCGCAGACAATCAATAAGTTTTTTACATCTTTGGGTTTTATGAAATTGTTGATGTGATCTGTGCATTTTTGCTTTGTCTGGACTACTCAACACATGATTTGTATGTTCTTCAACAAACCCTGTGACCTCCCACGATTTGTCCTCTAATATTTTCACTCGCATCATTGCCTTACATCCCACCCGGGTCTCTCGCCGAAGATGAATCTCCATCTTGTCTTTATTAAATTCATAGCCCTCCTTATCACAAACAAACTTTCTATCTACTACTTCTCTAGTCTTGCGAGAGTAATTCACCGTGCTCTTTCTTATTCCAAAACCCATCAACAATGCATATGAGTTATAATAGTTATAAGCTTCTTCATAACTATTAAACTTCATTCCCATAAGTGGTTTAGGAGCATTTACACTAGTTGAATTTGTTTCCTCCATTCCGAACTCTACTCTGGTTGAATTTGTTTCCCATTCCGAACTCCTATAAAGAAGAAAACCAATTCCAAACATTATGTTCAATGTTGCTTCAAAACTAAGGATGTAATGGTGAAAAATTAAAGTTTGATACAGAAAATATTGGTCATGATCATAATTATATATATATATATATATATATAAACACGGGTCAAACAATCCAAATCTACATAGATAACCAAAAATAGCATTAATTACACAAGTTTATTGAAGTATCATGGAGTTCAACAAACCAATTTACTAGCTAGTTCGCATTCAATGAAGCTTACAGATTTTGATATCCAATTCCGAAACGATAGCATGGGTGATGCAAACGAATTTAAAATCAAACGAAATTACTGCAGAGCTGCATGATGCAAACTAAATCATAACTCAATTCAATCGACACAAAAATGCTCATCTCGAAGTCAAGAAACGAACAGGAGGCCGAATCGGAAACAATGATAAAAAGTGTATAAAAACAATCGTGGAATCCGATTATAACGAGAACTCAGGAAGATTAAATATTAGAAAATAGAGGTATGAAAATACGCAATTCGGCTTAAATCAACTGATACCGTGGTCGGCTCGAGAGAGGGAAGGGGGGCTGGTGGTGGCGCACACAAAAAGGGGGGCTGGAGGCTCTCAAAAGGCAGAAAGGTGGCGGCTCAGAGGGGACTCGCGGCGGCTTCGATTTAGGGTGAGGACGAATGCATCTCGCGGCGGCCACGAAATGGGCGAGGACGGGGGGATCTCGCTCAGAGCTGGTCAGAGGGGACTCGCGGGGATCTCCTCTCTCGCGGCGGCCACGAAATGGGCGAGGACGGGGGGAAGCGGAGATCTCCTCTCTCGTGCTCAGATCTGGGAGAGGTTTGGGGGAGAAGCTTAGAGATTTGATCAGAGAGAGAGAGAGAGAGAGAGAGAGAGAGAGAGAGAGAGAGAGAGAGAGAAGGTCACGGAAATGGATTTGGTCATGGAGGGGATATAAATGCGGCTGGGTTTATTCTTGAAATAGTTCCTGCAGCGCACGAAATCTCTAAGCTGGCAGTGCATACACAGTTTTCTCATAGAGTAAAACTTCAAGCAACTTGGTAGTGATGTGACTTAATCTTGTCTCTATATCTACATTGCAGTTGGTGAATGGTGGTTGAGGCTCTATCTTTGAGGTGTGATGTAGGGGCAAGATTAGGCCACATTGCTACCAAGTTGCTTTAAGCAACGAGAAAAATAAAGAAACTTGGTACCAAGTTGCTCAAGAAACTTGATAGTGATGTGACCTAATCTTATCGCTACATCTACATTAGAGTTGGTGAATGATGGTTGAGACTCTATCTTTGAGGTGTGATGTAGGGGTAAGATTGGCCACATCACTACCAAGTTTCTTTAAGTAAATTGGTAGTGATGTGTCATAATCTTGTCCCTACATCTACATTGGAATTAGTGAAGGGTGATTGAGGCTCTATCTTCGAGGTGTGATGTATGGGCAAGATTAGGCCACATCACTACCAAGTTGCTTTAAACAACTTGGTACCAATGTTCTCCATTTCTCTCTCTCTCTCTCTCTCTCTCTCTCTCTCTCTCTATATATAT